TAAAGCAAATTAAAAATCCTGAACTACATTCAAAGAACTGGGAGGTACAATTTTACCATTTGCCAAGAGGGTGGCAGGAAATCAAATATATATGAGCATCTCTAGTTTATATCATGTATGAAAAATATTTCCAAAATATTCAAGGAATTAAAAAACGATAACTTGATAATATTTCTGCCTCTAAAATTGGCAAATGTATAAAAAGATAAAAATTCCCCGATTTAGCAAAAGGTCATGAAGCAATTATTTTCATTTACTAAATACAATGCAAGTGGGAAAATGGAATGCTATAAAATTTCTGTAGGGAACTTTGGCAATATCTATTAATTCTTGGGTCTTCTAAGTAATTTGTAATTTGACTCAATAATACTCAAAATAGAAATTCTATTTCTAAGCTGACATATGGACACATATTTCTTGTGCAGAAAGTGTAGAATTCCTTGTAGTAGTATTTAGAGTGACCAAAATACAAATGTTCAACAATAGAGAAAAGGTTAAATTCATTTTAACATGCCTCCATTGTGAAATTCACTGTGCAACTATTTAAGTTATATTTTATAGAATCCTGGTATAGTCTTGGGATACAAAGCACATGAAAATAAGAAAAAGAAGGGGCACCTGTGTGACTCAGGTGTTTAGTGTCCAGCTTCAGCTCAGGTCATGATTTCATAGTTTGTGAGTTTGAGCCCCATGTTAGGCTCTGTGCTGACAGCTCAGAGCCTGGAGCCTTCTTCGGATTCTGTGTCCCCATGTCTCTCTGCCCCTTCCCTGCTTGTTCATTCTCTCTCTCTCTCTCTCTCTCTCTCTCTCTCTGTCTCTCTCTCTCTCTCTCTTTCACAAAAATAAATATTTTTAAAAATTTAAAAAAATAAGAAAAAATATAAATCTCCATTAATAGGAAAGAGGAATAAAGTAATACACCAAGAAAGATGAGCTTTATATACCGTAAATTTAAGGATGGATTTTTCCCCCATAAAACCACTTTTACTAAACTATAGGCAATGCATTTATTTTTAAAATAGAAAAGACTATTAATGAGCATATGTGGGTAATTTCATTTTCATTTTTACAGGGAAATACAATTTCTTTAGGCTTTGAGAATTTACGCTTATATCCCACCATGGACTTTTTTACAACCAGGGTCCCTGGCCCTAGAGGACTTCACATTTCTGAAAATTCTCTTTACAGAATAAGTGAAAATTGCATATAAGTTGAAATTACCCAGGTTTTGATAACTTGGTGTTTTAATTTTCTGCCTTCAGAACTAAGTGCTGTGAATGTTTTGTTGAGCAAACCAAACTTTGTTCTTACTCTCATGGAGCTTACAGGTTAGCAGTAGGTGCAGACATTATTACGTGATCACTAAAAAGTAAAAATGCCACAAGCAGGAGAGGCACATGATGAGTAAATTTGTGGATATTTGACTGACTCAGGGATATAAAAAAAAAGATTCCCTAGATAAAGGGTGAGGTCTGAACAATTAGGAGCTAGGTAAGGATCTGTGGGAAGAGTATTCCATGTAGAAGAATTGGCATGCTCAGATGTCCTGTGCTTTACAGAAGTAGGATGACTGCAAGGGACAGAGCGGTCTGCAAGGCAGGGAGTGAACATTTGTCTCTATCTAGTGAGCAACAGAAAGCCACTGATGATCTATAGTGCAAGTGGGGAGAGTGGAATAATTGTATTTGCACTTGGAATGAGCACTCTGGCTGAATTTTCTTTCTTTTTTTTTTTTAAGTTTTAATTTAATCTTCAGTTAGTTAACATACAGTGTAATATCAGTTTCAGGTGTCAAATACAGTGAATTGACACTTCCATACAATACCCAGTTCTCATGACAGTAATTGCCCTCCTTAATCCCCATTATGTATTGAGCCCATCCCTCCACCTCCTCTCTAGTAACCACCAGTGTGTTCTCTATAGTTAAGAGTCCGCTTCTTGGTTTGCCTCTGTCTCTCTTTGTGTCCCTTTGCTCATTTATTTCTTAAATTCCACATATGAATAATCATGTTATTTGTCTTTCTCTAACTGACTTATTTTGCTTAGCATAATCTCTTGCTCCATTCTTGTCACTGCAAATAGCAAGATATTCTTTTTTGTGGATGAGTAATAT